GATAGAGTTGGGTTCTGGAGGCTGCAGCTGTTGCGCTTACCAAGTTTGGCAAGCAAAGCTGTCGGGTTTTCCTTCTCTTGGTCGATTGCTGTTAGACCTTGTGGAGTGCGTTCTGCGGGCTGATTCCTGACCGGGCCGAACTTGAAGTAAACACTGCCTCTCACGAAGTCTCAGCCCTGAAGTTCAACCTCCGAACAAGTTGAGTCCAGACCGTGACGTAGGGCACAAATCTGACCCTGGGTTCTGTTGGCTGACCCAGGATGATTTTGCTGCTGTCGATTGGTGCAGCCTTCCTCGCACCTGGACACAGGTTCAGGGGTCCAGTTTCAGCGCGGATGGGGCTATTGATGTCAGCAAGGATGCCATCGCAAAAGGCTGAATTCAAAGACCTTCCCAGAAGCTCCATGAAGAGGGATGGTTTGCGTTGGGGTAGGTTTGGATATGGCCAGCGCACACCCCAAACCCTATTCCCCTGCGTGTACAATGTTTGCCAGGTTCTTGGTTGACTTTGTCAGGTCGCGCTGTTTGGTAGCAGAAAGGTGGCGACCTGCGGCATCTTGTCAACCCTCCCGCCCGCCCCAGAAAGGGGCCGGTTCTGCGGCTCGTATCTTATGGCCCAATGGCCGTGGAGGGCAGAATTGGAGTGCACTGGGGAGGGGCTGAGGCCCCTCCCCCAGTGATGATATGTGAAATCTGCAGCCAAAATGCCCATGCCTGCTTTCATGTACTGAGCAGGGTGTAGAGGGTTTCCGTAATGTCAGCCCACATCTCTGTGTGAGTCTGTGTGGCCCAAGGATGCCTTGGAGGGAGAGGTAAAAGCTACCTACTCCTCCCTCGCCGTGGGAGCTGCTTGGCTCAAAGCAGCTCTATGTTGGGGTGCCACCCTCCCTCGGCCGTGACAACTCCAATTGAGCCCTGAGGTCCTGGGCATACTTTACGGAATTGCCTTCGTCCTGCTGTGCCTTGACCACAGCAGAGTGCGGGACGCAGCAAGCCTCTTCTTGGGCTGGAACCACAGGGGTTCTGTTGTTATTTGCTTCCGCTTTCCCGGCTGGAGTC